TTGGTGCCTGGTAGTGTGTGGTGCCTGGTAGGTGGTGCCTGGTAGTGTGTGTGGTGCCTGGTAGTGTGTGTGGTGCCTGGTAGTGTGGGTGGTGGTGCCTGGTAGTGTGTGGTGGCGCCTGAGTGTGTGTGGTGCCCGTGGTGGTGGTGTTTGGTAGTGTGTGGTGCCTGGTAGTGTGGTGCCTGGTAGTGTGTGTGTTGCCTGGTAGTGGCCGTGTGTGGAGCCCAGTAGTGTGTGGGTTGCCTGGTAGTGTGTGGCGTCCAGTGTAAGTGCGTGTGGTGCCTGGTAGTGTGTGGGGATGCCTGGTAGTGTGTAGAGCCTGGTAGTGTGTGTGTGCCTGGTAGCGTGTGTGGCCTGGTGCGTGTGTGGTGCCTGCAGGCGTGTGTGGGTGCCTGGTAGGGGTGCCTGTGTCGGTGCCTGGTAGTGTGTGTTGCCTGTAGATGTGTGTGCCTGGTGCGTGTGTGTGGTGCCTGGTAGCATGTGTGGTGCCTGGTAGTGTGGCAGTGTGTTGCCTGGTAGTGTGGGTGGTGCCTGGTAGCTGTGGTGGTGCCTGCAGTGTGTGTTAGCCGGTAGTATGTGGTGGTGCCTGGTAGTGTGTGGTGCCTGGAGTGGGAGAGTGTGAGCCATAGTGTGTGGTGCCAGGCAGTGGCATGGGGAGTCTGGTAGTGCGTGTGTGGTGCCTGGTAGTGTGTGTGGTGCCTGGTAGCATGTGTGGTGCCTGGTAGTGTGTTGCCTGGCAGGCGTGCGCCTGTAGTGTGGGGTGCCTGGTAGGTGGGTGCCTGGTAGTGTGTGTGGTGCCTGGTAGTGTAGCCTGGTGTGTGTGTGGTGCCTGGTAGTGTGTGTGGCGCCTGGCAGTGTGTGTGGTGCCTGGCAGTGTGTGTGGTGCCTGGTAGTGTGTGGTGCCGATGGTGTGCAGCCTGGTGTAGTGTGTGTGGTGCCTGGTAGTGTGTGGTGCCTGGTAGTGTGTGTGGTGCCGGTAGTGTGTGTGGTGCCTGGCAGTATGTGTGGTGCCTGGTAGTGTGTGTGGTGCCTGGCAGTGTGTGTGGCGCCTGGCAGTGTGTGTGTGCTCCGGCAGTGTGTGTGTGGTGCCTGGCAGTGTGTGGTGCCCGGTAGTGTGTGTGGTGCCCTGGTAGTGTGTGGTGCCTGGTAGTGTGTGTGGTACCTGGTAGTGTGTCTGGTTCCTGCAGTGTGTGAGCCTGGTAGTGCGTCTGGCACCGGTGTGGTGCCTGGTAGTGTGTGTGGCACCGGTGTGGTGCCTGGTAGTGTGTGTGGCGCCCGGTAGTGTGTGTGGTGCCTGGTAGTGTGTGTTGCCGCAGTGTGTGGTGCCCGGCAGTGTGTGTAGTGCCTGCAGTGTGTGTGGCCTGGTTGTGTGCCTGGCAGTGTGTGGTGCCTGGTAGTGTGTGAAAGCCCGGGTAGTGTGTGTGTACCTGGCAGTGTGTGTGGTGCCTGGTAGTATGTGTGGTGCCTGGTAGTGTGTGTGGTGCCTGCAGTGTGTGGTGCCTGGTAGTATGTGTGGTGCCTGGTAGCATGTGGTGCCTGGCAGTGTGGTGCCTGGTAGTATGTATGCCTGGTTGGGTGTGTGGTGCCTGGTAGCATGTGTGGTGCCTGCAGTGTGTGTGGTGCCTGGTAGTGTGTGGTGCCCAGTGTGTGTTGCCTGGCAGTGTGTGGTGCCTGCAGTGTGTGTGCTGCCTGAGTGGCGCCTGGCAGTGTGTGTGGTGCCTGGTAGTGTGTGTGGTGCCTGGTAGTGTGTGTGGTGCCTGGTAGTGTGTGTGTGGTGCCCTGCAGTGTGTGGTGCCTGGTAGTGTGTGTGGTGCCTGGTAGTGTGTGTGGTGCCTGGTAGTGTGTGTGGTGCCTGGGTGCATGTGGTGCCTGGTAGTGTGTGGTGCCTGGTAGTATGTGTGGTGCCTGGCAGTGTGTGTGTTGCCTGGCAGTATGTGTGGCCCTGGTAGTGTGTGTGTGTCCTGCAGTGTGTGTGTTGCCTGGTAGCATGTAGCCTGGTAGTGTGTGTGGTGCCCGGGCAGTGTGTGTGTTACCCGGGCAGCATGTGGTGGTGCCTGGTAGTGTGTGTGGTGCCCTGGTAGCATGTGTGGTGCCTGGTAGCATGTGTGGTGCCCTGAGCTGTGGTGCCCGAGTGTGTGGTGCCTGGTAGTATGTGTGGTGCCTGGCAGTGTGTGGTGCCTGGTGGTGTGTGGTGCCTGGTGCATGTGTGGTGCCTGGTAGTGTGTGGCCTGGTAGCATGTGTAGTGCCTGGTAGTGTGTGTGGCCTGGCTGTGTGTTTCTGGCAGTGTGTGGTGCCTGGTAGTGTGTGTGGTGCCTGGTAGTGTGTGTGTTGCCTGGTAGCATGTGTGGTGCCTGGTAGCATGTGTGGTGCCCGTGTTCCGCAGTTGTGTGCCCAGTATGTGTGGTGCCTGGTAGATGTGTGTGGTGCCTGGTAGTGTGTGGTGCCCAGTATGTATGGTGCCTGGTTGTGTGTGTGGTGCCTGGTAGTATGTGTGGTGCCTGGTAGTGTGTGTGGTGCCTGGTAGTGTGTGGTGCCTGGTAGTGTGTGTGTTTCCCGGCAGTGTGTGTGTGGTGCCTGGTATGTGTGGTGCTTGGTGTGCCTGGTAGTATGTGTAGTGCCTGGTAGTGTGTGTGGTGCCTGGTTGTGTGTGTGTTTCCTGGTAGTGTGTGTGGTGCCTGGTAGTGTGTGTGGTGCCTGGTAGTATGTGTGGTGCCTGGTAGTATGTGTGGTGCCTGGTAGTGTGTGTGCTGCCTGGTAGTATGTGTGGTGCCTGGTAGTGTGTGGTGCCTGGTTGTGTGTGTGTTTCCGGTGTGTGTGTGGTGCCTGGTAGTGTGTGTGGCCTGGAGTATGTGTGCCTGGTGCCTGTGAGTTGGCCCTGAGTATGTGTGGTGCCTGGTGGTGTGTGTGTGGCTCGGTAGTGTGTGTGGTGCCTGGTATGTGTGGTGCCTGGTAGTATGTGTGGTGCCTGGTAGTATGTATGGTGCCTGGTAGTGTGTGTGGTGCCTGGTAGTGTGTGTGGTGCCTGGTATTGTGTGTGGTGCCTGGTAGTGTGTGTGTTTCCTGGTAGTGTGTGTGGTGCCTCGTGGTATGTGTGGTGCCTGGTGGTGTGTGTGTTGTCTGGTAGTATGTGTAGTGCCTGGTGGTGTGTGTGGTGCCTGGTTGTGTGTGTGTTTCCTGGTAGTGTGTGTGGTGCCTGGTAGTGTGTGTGTTGCCTGTGTGTGTGTGCCTGTGTAGTATGTGGTGCCTGGTAGTATGTGTGGTGCCTGGTGTGTGGTGCCTGGTAGTGTGTGTGTGGTGTTGGTGTGTGTGGTGCCTGGTAGTATGTGTGGTGCCTGGTAGTGTGTGTGTGGTGCCTGGTAGTGTGTGTGGTGCCTGGTAGTGTGTGTGTGTTTCCTGGTAGTGTGTGTGGTGCCTGGTAGTGTGTCTGGTGCCTGGTAGTGTGTGATGCCTGGAAGTTCGTGTGGTGCCTGATAGTATGTGTGGTGCCTGGTGGTGTGTCTGGTGCCTGGTGAGTGTGTGATGCCTGGTGGTATGTGTGGTGCCTTGGCGGTGTGTGTGGTGCCTGGTAGTATGTGTGGTGCCTGGTGAGTGTGGTGGTGCCTGGTAGTGTGTGATGCCCGGTAGGTATGTGTGGTGCCTGGTAGTGTGTCTGGTGCCTGGTAGTGTGTGGTGCCTGGTGTGTATGTGTGGTGCCTGGTGGTGTGTGTGTGGTGCCTGGTGGTGTGTCTGGTGCCTGGTAGTGTGTGGTGCCTGGTGGTGTGTGTGTGTTGCCTGGTAGTGTGTGTGTGTGGTGCGTGGTAGTGTGTGTGTGGTGCGTGTGGTGGTTGTGTGGTGCCTGGTAGTATGTGTGGTGCCTGGTAGTGTGTCTGGTGCCTGGTGTGTGTGTGGCTCCTGGTAGTAAGTGTGGAGCCTGGTAGTGTGTGAATACCTGCACCAAAATGTTAATCTAGTTAGAAAACATCAAAACATGGGTTGTGGTTTTTGAACAAAGTACTGTACGTTCACGAATGAAGTTTTTCCATTCCTCCGACCTGAGACCTTTGAACCAGTGAACCAGACTGTCTCATCACACAGTGTTAGGCCCATCGCACTGGGTGGTGTGGTGTCTCCAATTCGCAGGTTTCTGAGTCACAGGCTTCTTGGTTGGTACGGAGGACGAATAGGACTTTTTTTTCCATGACTGTACTGTACAGTCTCACCCTGGTTAACTCTCCCAGCCAGCTATTGCTGCACTGCCTGCTTCAGATGTATGAACCTAAAGTCTGTTACTTCGAACCTTAGATTCATTCGTATCGGTTTCATGTTCTGGTTGGTACCGAGACAGTTTCAAACATCTGAAGCAGGCAGTGCAGCAATAGCTGGTTTGGAGAGTTAACGAACTTTCGGGTGAGACTGTACATTACGATAAGTTATTTTTAGTAATTTCACTAGGATATTATTTAGCGTCACGTCTCGAAGAAAGACTTGTAATAAATGAGGAAGTTATGATGAGGCGTCTGGTTTAAAGTTAATGATCAATTCCGTCATTAGAGTTGCGCCATATAAACATTTTCAGTAACAATAAGGAACAAGTACGAAAACAGTATATTTTTATGACTAAACGTTAATGAGGGAAATGACCACTCTTAGAAAGGGCACATAAGGTTAGTACCCGCTCAGAATTCAGTCTGCAGTCTCATATGTGAACTTTTAGTATAAAGCAGAATATTCTTACTGTATAAGCAACATGATTCAAAACAGACAAGCACACAACCAGATGATGTACTCTCATTAATTCACTGAAGAAAAAAATCAGTAATTAAATTACATTTCTCGGTTTACAACTGAAGCCCTGCAACTGAGAGTATTATAGAGACAAGAGTTAGCGTATATCATCTTTATTAAACACGTTGATATACTCACCTCTCATGGTTTAGTAAGATTAGCAAAGGGTCGTATGTTAGTTTCTTCCAAGTTCACCATAACTAAAAAGAACGGCCAATACGAAAACTAAACTTACCTCCTGATAGCAGTTCTCTTCTCTCTAGTTAAAGTTACAAATGATCATAATTATCATCTTCTTTACTGTCTTATGCGACCACAAAAATATAACGCCACATAACAAGTGGTGCTATTATTAACTCGTCCTTCAACCTTATTTTATCCAATGTTCATCCAGGAGACAACACCTTTAGCTTTTACAAATACACACCCACAGGTTTTATAGTACGTAATAATTTTTCCACGTTAGCGTACAGGTATCCCAAATACGAACCAAGTATACAAGAAGATTCCCATGTACGCAGACAAACACTACGCACACAAATTTACATTTGGTAGTTCTCAACGGTGATAACCAGACTAGTAGAAGTCGCAGTAGCTGGACCGACCACGATCAACACGCGCATGATCCAACACGTCTCACCAGACTCATGAGAACCTGTCACAAAGCACACCTGGTGACTCATGCCATGACTCACCTCGCCTTTACTACCTTCCCTGCATCGGTTAATTGACCTTCCGCGCATGAGTCACCGCCACCACCCGTGAGTCACAACCCTATCACCAGCATTGGTTCGCTCTCTCTCTCTCTCTCTCTCTCTCTCTCTCTCACTCATATGTATATAAGAACATAAGAACATAAGAATGGAGGAAACTGCAGCGGGCCTATTGGCCCATACTGGGCAGTCCCGTTTACACCCAACCCCTATTGCTCATATAAGCATCCAACCTATGTTTGAAGCTATTCAGCGTATTCGAGTTAATGATGATATTTGGTAACTTGTTCCATTCATCCACTACTCTGTTTCCAAACCAGTGTTTACCGATTTCACGCCTAAATCTAAATTTATCTAATTTAAAACCATTGTTACGAGTTCGCTCCTGGTTGGATAGTTTGAGTACCTTTGTAATGTCCCCTTTGTTTAGCCCTGCCTTCCACTTATACACCTCTATCAGGTCGCCCCTCGCTCTACGTCTCTCGAGGGAGTGCAAATTAAGATGCTTTAGCCTGTCTCTATATTCAAGGTTCCTAATGCCCGGGATTAGTCTTGTCATTCTCCTCTGAATTCTTTCCAAGGATTCTATATCCATTCTGTAATACGGTGACCAGAACTGAACTGCGTAGTCCAGGTGTGGTCTCACAAGAGCAAGATACAGTTTTACGATGACCTCGCTAGTCTTGTAACTAACACTCCTTTGTATGAACCCAAGTACTTTATTAGCCTTGTTACGAGCAAAAACACATTGTTTACTTGGTTTAAGGTTCCTACTTATCATTACTCCTAAATCTCTCTCGCAGTCGGATTTCTCTATGGCATCGTTGTTCATCTGGTATCTGGTTTCCCTGTTTACATCTCCTATACTGAGTACTTTACATTTGTCGACGTTGAATTTCATCTGCCATTTTTCAGACCATTCGAAAAATTTGTTTAGATCTTCCTGTAGTTTTGCCGAGTCCTCGTCAGATTTAATAACACGTCCTATTTTAGTGTCATCAGCAAATTTACTTATGTTGCTGTCTATGCCGATATCTATGTCGTTTATGTATATAATAAATAATAATGGTCCAAGTACTGAGCCTTGGGGAACACCACTTGTGACGTTGCTCCAATGGCACTTAGTGCCGTTAATGCTCACTCCCTGTTTCCTGTCCTATAACCACGCCCTAATCCATTTAAGGATGTCTCCTTTGATGCCATGTGCTTCTACATTTCTAATTAGTCTTTCGTGGGGGACTCTGTCGAAGGCTTTGCTAAAGTCGAGATATACCACATCATAATTGTGCCCCTCGTCCACCGATTCGAAAGCTGATGAAAAGAATGTTAATAGATTAGTTAGGCAAGAGCGTCCGCTTGTGAAGCCATGCTGGGAATCATTGATCAATCTGTGCTTCTCCAGGTGATTTCGAATAGAGTTTGAGATGATTGCTTCCAGTAATTTGCCTACTATTGATGTTAGACTGATTGGGCGGTAGTTAGAGGAGAGTGATCTATCCCCCTTCTTGAAAATCGGTATTACATTCGCTATCCTCCAGGATTCTGGTACTACACCTATTTTTAAGGACATGTTAAACAACTTTGCTAAGGGCATACTAAGCTCTTCCTTACATTCCTTTAATACTCTGGCAAATATCTCATCGGGACCAGGTGACTTATTAGGCTTTAGTTTGTCTATTTGCTTACTAACATCGTTACTAGTCACTACTATCTCCCTTAATTTGTTTTCTTCACTATCTCTGAATAGAGTATATATATATATATATATATATATATATATATATATATATATATATATATATATATATATATATATATATATATATATATATATATATATATATATATATATATATATATATATATATATATATATATATATATATATATATATATATATGTATATATTACGCTATATAGTGGAAACTATCCACTAAGGTTTAGTCGGCAGACAAAATGACTCTTGGCACAAATACATCGACGACAACTTTAATAAAGTTTGTACAATTAAGTATTAATCGGCAATTTAATAGCTGTTTAGCTTAAAAATCCAAAATATTTGTTATGAAGGGGTGTACATACATATATAATGTATGTATGTGTACATTACAATTTTTGATTTATTTAACCAAACCCACCCGGGGTAATAATATACTCGATTTAGTTCTGTCAAACAGAGAAAACCTCATTAGCAATGTCGAGGTAACGAATGAACTTGCAAACAGCGATCACAAAGAAATTAGATTCCAGTTAGATTTTCGTGGGCAGACGTAAGGAAAATTCCACTAAAGTACCAGATTTCAGAAGGGCAAACTTTGACAGTTTAAAGAGGCAGCTGAGAGAGGGGGTGTCACGGTCGGTTACAAGACAGGAAACAGCAAGTGAGCATTAATGGCACTAAGCCCATTGAGCACGCCACAAGTGGAGTTCCCAAGGCTCAGTACTTGACCATTATTATTTATTATATACATAAACGACATAGCTATCTGCATAGACAGCAACATAAGCAAATTTGCTGATGACACTAAAATAGGATGTTATTAAATCTGACGAGGACTCTGCAAAACTACAGGAAGATCTAAACAAATTTTTCGAATGGTCTGAAAAATGGCAGATGAAATTCAACGGACAAAATGTAAAGTACTCAGTATAGGAGATGTAAACAGGGAAACCATATACTGATCTTTGTCTACACATACGTGAGTTACATCCGGAATAACACCATTACCCTCTCTTACAATATATCCCCTACCGTCAGTGTCAGCTCCCAGTTCTACAAAATCCGCTTTGAAACACATCATACATGTATTGACAAATATGTCTTGAGATATGTAAAATCCACCATTTACTGTTTTAGTGTCGTCTTTCTTTCCACCCATTAAATCACCCCACTTTCCTTCACCGAAGACAGAACTTGTTGCCATAGTGATGCCAGCATCTATTTTAGATGGATCCAAGAAAATTAAGGGTGAAATGACTCCCCTCGACTGTAATGCTACTTGTCCATTGATCCGTTGAATGGATCGCGTCATATCTTCAGCATCGGAGAAATGGAACTTGTCCCGGAAAAAGTACATTGTGGAATCGGTGTTGCCGCTGATGTCAGTAAACGTCTCTACAAGTTTTTCATCATTCAACACAGTTGACACGTCAGTTAATAGTCCTATTGCACAAGTTAATCCTTCTGGATGAGGTATTAGTCTACGCACATGGTGGAGTATATTACCGGTAAAGGTCATTCTCTTCTCCTCCTGGGATGATTGTACAATACCGTGAATAAGGTAACTTAGTGTCCCTATAACAGTAGAACAATCAAGAACTATATTATCTCTTTCATCATCTTCAGCGACTGCAGAAAATACTTTAAAGCAAGCATTATTATAATCAATTATTGACATTTTTCTGTCTATACACTCTTCACAAAGCAGCAACGAAATGGATGATGTAAGAGCGGCTACCTTGCGTCTGTCAGTGACCAACGTTTAAACTGAGAATGCTAGTACTGTAGTGCCTATAAATACCCTCTTCCTGTAGCTCAGCTCAGTGTAATATTACAAAATACTTAGACACTTTGGGACAGGTACCAATAAGTACTTTCTACACTATTTATTGATGCTATAATACATTTTATAGTAACATTTAGGAAATAATAATTGTAGTAGTATATAAAATAATATTTTGTTTACACATTGGGCATGTAGTTAATAATACAGTACAATAAGAACAAACAACTATATGTTTACAAGTAATAATAACCTATCTCTATCTCGTGCCATATACACCCTACACACTGTAATCGTAATGTAGAAGATTGTAGTAGGGAGACGGTCAAGTTGTGTGGTCAGCTGGGGTGGCCCTGGTGGACGGTGGGGGTGGACAAAGCTCAGATTACAAGCCGCGGTACTGAGGGGAGCTTGGTGGGCCTACACCTCACATGGTTGTCACAGATTCAACAGTAAATTGACAAATATATCTACTTATTTACTAAGGGGGATCACAGATAGATATTGTACTGGTCAATACACTCACTAGTCACTCACGAATCAGACTGGGTACTCCTGGAAAGACCCTGTTTTCGACGAAAACGCGGAGCTCCTAACAACACGTCCCACCACCTATGACACGGTGAAAAAGCAACCGTATAATGAAAGGGATCTCTCATCTGTGTAGCGAGCACCACTGTGCTCCCTTTTTTTTTTTGTGCTCCTTTTTAAGGTGAAAGGGATGGAAGGCATGTTGGGGCCTCAAGGCACAGCCAGACATGAGGGATGGAGAAGTCACAAACATATAGTCGTGGGGAAGGGTTGAAAAGAAGTTTAATGAGTTAAACAGAGGGGGACGACACCCTTTGTTTTACATATATATTACAGAGTTTGTTGGCTAACTGCTAACCTAGGATTTAGAAATGAGGTTGCACAATGGTTATTTTAGTAGACAATGACAAGATTGATTTTTACAATTACAAGTTTATTCACATCTTATACTGTATTACGTGTTATGGACTCACTTGATTGTGACTTGTTAAATGTGAATTTATATCATCTAAGTTTTTAATATATGTGGATCACTGTGGCGGATATAGATGGGTCGTGGGCTGGGTTGTTGTAGTGGGCAGACCTGGGCCACACCAGGCGTGGGGCCTCCTCTCCGTTGGATGTCTTCCCCGCGTAGGTGGTCTGGGCTGTGAGGGTCGTCCAGGAGCTTGTCCCAAACCTCCCCAGGCGATGGAACCTGAAGTTGAGGGCCTCTGTTTTATTTCTAGGTGGATGGTTTCCCCACTGTCTCCCCTGGTAGGGTGGCGCTTGGCCACTGGCTGACCTCAAACACTTGTTTTGGAAGCTCCAGAAGTTGTTGTAGTCTAGTCTTCCCGAGTGTGACGAGTGGTATAGATGGGTACTCCAACACTGGCCTCACCAGCGCCTTG